ATGTTGAGGTTGTCGTTGTGGGAAATAACTTACTAGTTGGTTACTTTCGTGAAAAACAAAAATCAATAGCAAAGTAAAAATACAGACTTTAATTTTTTTGTTATGTTTCTTTTGAATTTAAGAGGGAATGGTGTGATTTGAAATGATTAAAATGCCAATACAGATTTGGAATTTTTTTGGTGGGTTTTTTGCTTTGTTTTTGCAGTACTAGGGTTTGAGCCCAGGGCCCCACACTTGCTAGGCAGGTGCTCTACCACTTGAGCCAATCCACCAGCCAAGGACAATATAAATTAGTTACTGAAAACCTGAATTTAGCTGGGTGTGGTGGCTCACACCTTAATTCCAGCACTAAGGATGCTAAGTCAGGAAAGTCATAAGTTTGAGGCCAGCAAAGACTACACAGCAAGACCCTGTCAAAAATGGAAAGATGGAAGGAGGAGAGGGAGGGAGGGAGGAAAGGAGGAAGGGAGAAAGGAAGTAAGGAAGAAGGAAGGAAGGAAGGAAGGGAAGAAAGAAGGAAGGAAGGCAGGCATGCAGACTAAATTCATCTTTACACTATTAAGATTCTCTACAACTAATCTTTCATTATACTCTTAATCCTTTGTGTTTGTCATGATGACATCCTGAATACAATTCTCTCAAAATTTTTTTTACTATCCAGGATTCGTGGTATTAACCTCTTATATTAAAACATTACAATTCCTTTTTCGCAGTACTGGAGTTTGAACTCAGGACTCTTGAGCCACTCAAAGAGCACTTTGTACTGATGAGTGTTTTCAAGACAAGGCCTCACAAACTATTTGTCTGGACAGGATGCCATCCTCCTGAGTAGCTAGGATTATAGATGTGAGCCACCAGTGCCCAGCTAAAACATTACATTATTTTAGTAATATATCATAGCCTTATTTATACAATTTTTCCAACCTTACACCTTTGTAACTGTGCTTCAAATGCAGAATTTCCCTGCACTGAAATATTATCCACAGTTGAAAATTACCATCCCTATCTCCATTACCTCCATGTTCTTAGAAGCAAAGATGTACGTTATTTGGGGATTAAGGAAGATTAAGGAATAATGGATTCCTTTAATATAAAAGTACTTTGTGATGTAATTTTTGCCAATTTAATATATTTTGATACTATAGTAGATAAACCATCTTCTGATACATTTAGAAACACTCCAATGTACTGTGTCAAATTTTGAAAAAATATATTAAGACATATTATAACCAAACAATTCCTTTTTTTTTTTTCTTGCAGTACTGAGGCTTGGATTCAGGGCCTACATCTTGAGCCACTCCACTAGACCTTTTTGTGGTGTTTTTTTTTTTTTTTTCGACATAGGGTCTCATGATCTATTTGCCTGGGCTGGCTTTGAACCACAATCTTCCTGATCTCTGCCTCCTAAATAGCTAGGATTATAGGCATGAGAAATTGGTGATGGCTCCACACAATTTCTTTCTTTCTTTTTTTTAATTATTATTTATTCACATGTGTCCAAACAATTTCTTAAAAGTTTACATAAACAGGATAATTGAAAGAGTAGTCCTGTGTATTAACAAATACAAATGCAAGTAAGGAAGGATTGAATTCACTTGTTCTAGGAGCTTTGTTTGATCTTTACTGTGTGCCAGGTGCTATACTAGGTGGTACATCTAGATTTATCTGATGCCATCACCTCAAAGTAAATTACCCCACTTCCTTTTTCCTATTCCTCTCTCAAAACAAAACATTTATAGAATCAGCACCACATTGTTACAATGTGACAAGTCTAGTGACTCAACCTTTTCATAATATTCTTTATCAGCATCTTAACTTCTGTGTTCTTCTAAGTGTCAAAAGATAATGAATTACTGCCATGGTTTAAGTAAGAAAAAAATAAATTCATTTCAGCAAGTAAAAACAGTATTTTGTCAAAACATGCTTCTTCGGTTTAGGAAGGTAATGTTACAGATGTATAATGGATACTTATAGAAGATAATTTTATATGCACTGTTGATAGAAATACATATATATATATATATATATATTTTTTTTTTTTTTTTGGTAGTACCAGGGTTTGAACTGAGGGTCTCAAGCTTGCCAGACAGTCACTCTACCACTTGTACCACTCCACCAGCCCTTTTTAGTGTCATTTTCAAGATAGGGTCTTGTGAACTACTTGCCTGGGCTGGCTTTGAACCTCTATCCTCCTGATCTCTGCCTCCTGAGTATCTACGATTCCAAGTATGAGTGACCAGCACCCAGCTGGAATATGAGTGACCAGCACCCAGCTGGAACTTTATATTTGTCTAATGTTCTTTTTGCAAAACTCTTGATTTTACTCTATCATGTTATTTAGTTCTCTGTATTTTCTAATTATTAATATTTAAAATAACTGTATAATAATATAATATGTAAATAAATGAAGAAAACAAACTCCCTGGCAATTTTTGTGCCCAGAGAAAAAAACTATACAGTTATATACTCCTCTTATTTGTATTCTTACACACACCTTTATTATTTTTCTTTTGTCTGGTAACTTTTTGTTTTGACTTTGTATTCCCTGGATCACTTCTTTTAGGTAAATTCACCTCACACTTGTAAGTAGCAATTCAGAGACCTTTCCTCTGAAATGAAGGTCCCACTAGATCCACTTGGCCCCTCAAAACCACCTACAAACAGAAATTCCTTTGACTTCCTTCCTCCTTGAGTTTCCTAATTTGTTGGTTCTTTACTGTTCTTTTTCTCCCTCACACACTACACTGATCAGCACATACTGCTATTTCTGTGAACCAAAATCTCTCCTCAGCACGCGTGCTCTCAGCCCCAGTCTCAGACCAGCACAGCCTACCTTTATCATCTCAGATAATGGAGATCTCCCCAGATTCCCCAATGATTAGAGTCTAAAGTCTAAATCCTTACCAGAAAACAAGATTCTCCCATTTTCATGCCTCCCCAACACACACTAGAGTCACTGAAAGACGCAGTGAATTGGATCTGGAATTTTCTGATGCTCCACCTAGTGTACAGACTCACACCTGGAATGGGAATCTAGAGAAGATTACCATTAGACCCTGTGAGGTCAAGCAAACCTGCTAAGATGGGAGTTGGTTAGCTACAGCCAGATCTGGAAAGGGCCAAGGAGCCCTGAAATTCAGTGGTCCACCCAGACACTTAGTCCTAGCATTGGATTTTACTGAGGAAATGTCCCAAATCTCCAAACCAGTGGTTATCATTATCATTTTTCAGAAAAGATGACAAGCTATAATGGTATCTCTTTACTTATTGCTACTAAAAAAAATTACATGACAATTTTTACCCAGTAACTATGCTGTTACTTACATCCTTCCAGAATTGACATAAAATACAAACAAAAAAAAAAGTGTTCATTAATCTATGCATTAATTCTTCCATTCAATGCACATTTAAAAATCACCTGTCTTACTGCAGATGCTACAGAGTCTATGTTGCCCCAGCCTGTAAACAGGGAATCAGATAAATACATGAAAACTATACAGATAGAAATCTAACCTGGACAGGGCAGGCTTTCTTAAAGATACGGTGACTGAGCTGATTTTGTGACGTCAGTGAGAGATACTTAGGTAAAGATAAAAGGTATTGTTTCATATTCAACAATACACAGGCAAGAGAATATATACATTAAAAAGTTATTCTAATACAGCAAGAAATCATGTGTAAAACAAGATGTAAAATGCAATGATCCTTTATCCTGTTCTTCTTTTTGGAAATAGGAAATAATACCAATATTTTAAGGTTTAGGAGGAAGTTTATTAATCACACAGAAGTCTCTATTTACTAAGTTGTCAGTTACAGTTTTTGATAACATGCTTGAGATTAAAAGCATCAACTTAGCTATATAATACATTATATAATCATCTTAGTACTGCTACAAACCACATGCTTCCAGCTACAGATTCCTAATCTGTCTCTGTGGTGGTGACGTCAGCAATGGAGCACTTACTGCTATATCAATGACAGGGCACTTTATCTCTGATGAGCTTTGTTAGGTTACATTAAACATGGAAACAAGATATGACTATCTGAAACTTTGACATTAACTGGGCCCACATTTAGGGCCCTCCAGAACAAGTCTCCTCACTGTTCTGCAAAGTCACATTTCGCAGGCTGTATGTATAGCATTTTCTCGGAACCCTGCCTCAATTTTCTCTCTTTGCCAAGCAATCTTGAGCATGTGCGATCTGTATGCCACAGCAAGTTCTAACCCCTGGTGCCCTTTCTTTGCATTTATACTCCAGGAGTGCTTGTAACAGAGCAGCAGGCATGAGATGGGTGATACAAGTAAAGCTAGATATGCCATTGCTGCGAAGGCAGGTTCAGATAGATAACTAGTCTGAGAAACTACCTAACACTAAGCTTTCTGTTAACTAAAATGCCCAAGTACTTGTTTGTTTTTAGGTTGACAGGTGCTAGGCCATCTTTCCTCCATTTCCTATTGTTTAGCTGATGCCAAAGAGTGCAGGTATTTCTATTAGCACTTTTATGGATGAGCCTACATACATTAAAGAAAACAAGTATTTCTTCCACAGGGAGAGTGACCATTCATTAAATAGATGTTTATTATCTTACAATATATGACAGTTCAATGCTAGACACTAAAAATACAGAGTTGAATGGAGCACACTGTGATCCCTTTACACAAGATTTTTTTATACATATATATGTATATAAAATATATACTGTATATATATGTAAATACATATAATAAGAGCAGCTTGGGGCATGAAGTAGTTGCTTAATAAGCTGTTACTAACACTAATATCATGATCACTTATAAATTGTAGTCTTTTAAAATTATTATAGATATTGATTGATTGATTAATAGTCTCACTATGTAGTCCAGGCTGGCCTCAAACTCGCTATCCTCCTCCCTTAGCCTCCCGAGTGCTGGGATTACAGGTATGAACATCCACACCTAGCTTAAAAATTATTAGAGATCTTTTAAATGAGAATACTCCAGTAGTGCAACCAATACTCACCAATACTGTAGTATCTCTTCAGTTCTGTGCGCCTGATTTCCTTTAACTGATTATTTTTTCTCTTTTTTTTCTCATCAGTAATATATTCCTCTTCCACAGTGATATTACACTTGTCTTGTTCTAAAATGTCTGAATGAGAATCTTCTTTCCCAGGATGAGTCCTTGTGGCTACAGCTGAGGCTGTCTCTGCATTTTGTTTAGCTTGTTTTTTCTTTTTCAATCTAAGAATGAGAAAAAAGAAAAAGGAAAAACATTGGCGACATGATTTCCCAGAAGGAATCCTATTAATTTTATGTTGGGCTTTGAAAATGATACAGAAAACACTTCCTTTGCAATATTCCTATTTCCTGGTATTTTTATCTTTTCTAACCACTTAATACTTCTTACATAGAGACATATGGCCTTTCCTCAATTTTATATCCACAGTGTCTCAAAAGAATATTGGAAAATGTTCTATGAATAAGGAAAAATGAGACTCTTCTATTAGCTATGAAATGTTGAATTTTTGTTTTCAAAACAAGATATTCAGTAACCCCACTATAATGTCATGTTTGTTTTTTTCCTTGAAGCACTTGTGGTTTTTAATGGTATTTTTGGTCTGATGAACAAGCAAATGGATAAAAACAAGTCCTTTCTAATTGGCTTACATACTCAGCATCAAGGTTTACCAAGGTGTGTGCTGGCTCAGGTCTGAGCAATTCTTTTCCTTTACAACTATGACAAGAAGCCTAAAGAGCTGCACTTCCTAACACAGGAAATGCCACTGTGACAATATGTCATTATCATTATTATAACTGCTGTCTGATATCTTAGGAAACATTTGGTGATTTCAATTCTTTGCTCCTAAGGCCAATGTGTATGAAATGAAGTTTATCGTAATTCAGTGGCATCCAATAACTCAAAATATTTTCCAGCTGACGCATTAATTTATAATTAATGTGTCATTCTGTACTTATTAGTACTTCTTGACAATGTTTGTTTTACCAGAGTGCAAACTCTTTCAGAACCTCTCATACATATGATGCTCTGCTCAAACGTAAATATTTTTTCATTAATACCCATCTCCCTTTGTGTGGAAAGAAAGCGTCTAGGCGCAATTCACTTTCTCTTACATATTTCTATTGCTTCTTCCTTCTTGAGTATCTGGACAATGTGATGTTGGACAGTGGACAAAGAAATTTGTGGGCAGAAAAATGACATTCCTCTAGGACAAAAAAGAATAAGGTTTGATTCTGTGCTGACAGAATCGATCTGACAGTCAATAAGAGTCTGTTGTTGTGGCTTTGATGTCAGGATAAGGGTCTAACTCCCAGTTTTTTCATATATTAAATTTGACAACTGTACTTCTCTAACTATCAGCAGGGTCTTTTATTAAGATTAACTGAGATAATGTGTTAATATATAACATAATAGTAAATTATCCCTCAGTATAATCATATAAATGAGAATTAAGCATGATAAGCTATATTGCACATTGCACTCTGGGGATAAAGATACTATATTCCAACCAGATAGTTCAAGTAGGCTGTAACAGTCCCTGAGAAGCCAGGTTCTCACACCTTCATTGGCTACTGAATGAAAACATGGCTAAGAGAAGCTGGAAAAAAGTCATAGATGAGTATACTTATCTCTTAGTTTAATTCTCTTATGTTTGCTTATTTAAAAGAAAAAAACCCCACAAAATTATAAACCACAGTAGGGACTCATTATAAAAAGAAATTCTTACTATCCCTAGATGTTTTTAACTGTTTTTCTGGTAAAAGAGTAGGTGGTTCTTTGCAAAGCTGGATCTGATAATAAGTGTCTTTGAAGTATAATAATTTTTCTTCCAGTCAAATTACTGTATGAAGCTTAAATTAATGTGCATAAACCTAGCCACTACACAGAAATCATAGAGGTTTATCTCTACAGAGAACTCATCATTTTTCTTTCTTTCTTTTTCTTTTTTTGTGGTACTGGCCTTTGAACTCAGAGCCTCACACTTGATAGGCAGATGCTCTACTCCTTATGCTACGGCCCCAAACCTTTTTGCTTTAGGTATTTTTGAGATAAGGTGTCTGCTTTATGCTGAGGTCTGCCTGGACTGAGATCCTATTATTTATGCTTCCCATTTGGCTGGGAGGACTGGTTAAGATAGGGTCTCAGGAACTTTTCCCTGGGCTACCCTTGCTACCATGATCCTCTAGGAGCTCTACCCCCAAAGTAGCTAGGATTATAGGCTTAAGCCACTGCTCCTGGCCAAAAGACTGATCTCTTTGTCCAAAATGCTGGCTATAGATGGGTTGATTCTGTTGTTCTAATGTATTGGCTGAGCAAAAACATGCTTGAAAAAAACCCTTTTTGCACCATTCAATAGGAGAAAAAACAGATGTGAAAAATTAGTTTTATATTTAGCAGCCTAAAATATGCTGCTTCTCAATCTCAATTTTCCCACTTGAAGTTCATTTAAATGTCCTCATTTCACTGCCCTCAGGATAATTAAACTCAATCATACTTAAGGCCCCTGGTTTGATGAACAGCAGCACTATTTGGGGACTTCTCATTAGAGAATGAGATTCACACATGGAAATAACAAAACAGGATACATTGGTTTTTTTTACTGGTTTTCTCCCTTTTCCACACAGAACATTATTGTGAACACATCCAGCCACAGTAGTTACTTAAAAAAAAAAAAAAATAGAAAATAGCAGTACTAAAGTTAACATACGACAGAACAATGTAATTCTTTAGAAATTCTATAATCAGCTGCATCTTTCCTTTTGACTATTGTACTCCTGAGACTTTGTATCTCTGGAGATTATCAATGGAACTGGAACATTTTGATCTTGCAACTAAGCCTTCTATAAAACTCTTCCTTCCAAGTACGGAAAACTTTCATAACACCTTTTCCAACAGTGAAAAACTGCCAGCCTGGAGGATGTGACAGTTAATGATCTTCTTTTAAGCTCTTTTGTCTTTCAGGCCTTCTCTTTTGTTTTTCAAGTCAATATGGTAATTCATTTCCACAATATGGATTTGTTATGGCTAAATTTAGGTAAACAAACAAACAAAAGGTCTTGGATGAAAGAACACCACTTTTTTTAAATGATCCAACATAGTTATTTATATCACGTACTAAGAAAAAATAAACTTGGTGAATCATGTTAAACAGAGCTGAAAAATAATAAAATATATTTAACATTGATTGCTGTGAGTATAAGTTAAAAAAAACTATTTATTTCTTTTAAAATTAACCATTCCCACCATTGTAGGCAAGCCCTGATAATTCTAGCTCCTAAATCTCCCCTTCAAATTCACCTTTTTTTTGGGGGGGGTGTACTGGAGTTTGAACTCAGGGCCCCAGGTTTCCTAGGTGGGTGCTCTACACCTGAGCCATTCTGCCAGCCCCCATATCAGAATTTTATCAATTCTCTGTCCCTGTCCTGGTTGCTTTTTACATTATTTATTACTGTTTGTTTTATTATGAAAATGATACATGTTTATACTAGAACATTTTCAAACTGAACAAGAGTCAAAAGAGTAAGATTTAAGTGCAATAATCGTTTAAGGGAGGAGCAATAAAAGCCTGAAGGGAAATTATACCAGTTAGACCTTCCTCAAGGACAAAAGAATGAGGCTACGATTCTGAACTTCTTATTCCTATCTCCCCATAATAGATATCAAAATGCTTTTTTTTCCCTCTCTACTAGTTACCTGGCACACAGTTAGCAGACTGAAGAGAAATAAGTAAGGTGATACTGCTAAAAACATAATTTTTATGATAGAATGAAAACTGGTTTTCTCTCAAGCTTTTTCCTTTACCAAAGGAAATGACTTTGGGACACTGGCATTAGTCAGAGGCAAAGCCCTGAGCAAGTCCCTTTCTGAGTCTCTGCAGAGTCCCCTTCCACACTAACCTCAAGGGCAAAGCAGCACAAAAAGCACCAGGGCCTGAGGCTTTTATTAGCACTTACAGTGAAAGCTGCATGAGGGCAGGGATTAGTTTAGGTAAGTACTGTGTTCCCACAGCCTAAACAAGGCACCCATTCGCAGAAATTAACATGCCCTTCACAGTGTTCTCTATAGCACTACATTCTCAAAAATGAACTCATCTAATACAGGGACTTCATTTGAAAAGAAAGTTTACTGCCTACATGAAATTAAAAATGCATTAAAATAGCTAGGTTCGGGATATAGCTCACTGTCACAGCACTTGCCTAGCTTGTACAAGGCCCTGGATTGATCCTCAGCACCACAAAGAAAAAGAGCAAGAGAGAGAGAATATATTAAGCTAAAGACCTCTTTTTTTTTTCTTTTTTCTTTTATTATTCATATGTGCATACAAGGCTTGGTTCATTTCTCCCCCCTGCCCCCACCCACACCCTTACCACCCACTCCACCCTCTCCCTCTCCCCCACCCCAATACCCAGCAGAAACTATTTTGCCCTTATTTCTAATTTTGTTGTAGAGAGAGTATAAGCAATAATAGGAAGGAAGAAGGGTTTTGCTGGTTGAGATAAGGATAGCTATACAGGGCATTGACTCACATTGATTTCCTGTGCGTGGGTGTTACCTTCTAGGTTAATTCTTTTTGATCTAACCTTTTCTCTAGTACCTGTTCCCCTTTTCCTATTGGCCTCAGTTGCTTTAAGGTATCTGCTTTAGTTTCTCTGCGTTAACGGCAACAAATGCTAGCTAATTTTTTAGGTGTCTTACCTATCCTCACCCCTTCCTTGTGTGCTCTCGCTTATATCATGTGCTCATAGTCCAATCCCATTGTTGTGTTTGCCCTTGATCTAATGTCCACATATGAGGGAGAACATACGATTTTTGGTCTTTTGGGCCAGGCTAACCTCACTCAGAATGATGTTCTCCAATTCCATCCATTTACCAGCGAATGATAACATTTCGTTCTTCTTCATGGCTGCATAAAATTCCATTGTGTATAGATACCACATTTTCTTAATCCATTCGTCAGTGGTGGGGCATCTTGGCTGTTTCCATAACTTGGCTATTGTGAATAGTGCCGCAATAAACATGGATGTGCAGGTGCCTCTGGAGTAACAGTCTTTTGGGTATATCCCCAAGAGTGGTATTGCTGGATCAAATGGTAGATCGATGTCCAGCTTTTTAAGTAGCCTCCAAATTTTTTTCCAGAGTGGTTGTACTAGTTTACATTCCCACCAACAGTGTAAGAGGGTTCCTTTTTCCCCGCATCCTCGCCAACACCTGTTGTTGGTGGTGTTGCTGATGATGGCTATTCTAACAGGGGTGAGGTGGAATCTTAGTGGTTTTAATTTGCATTTCCTTTATTGCTAGAGATGGTGAGCATTTTTTCATGTGTTTTTGGCCATTTGAATTTCTTCTTTTGAGAAAGTTCTGTTTAGTTCACTTGCCCATTTCTTTATTGGTTCATTAGTTTTGGGAGAATTTAGTTTTTTAAGTTCCCTGTATATTCTGGTTATCAGTCCTTTGTCTGATGTATAGTTGGCAAATATTTTCTCCCACTCTGTGGGTGTTCTCTTCAGTTTAGAGACCATTTCTTTTGATGAACAGAAGCTTTTTAGTTTTATGAGGTCCCATTTATCTATGCTATCTCTTAGTTGCTGTGCTGCTGGGGTTTCATTGAGAAAGTTCTTACCTATACCTACTAACTCCAGAGTATTTCCTACTCTTTCTGTATCAACTTAAGAGTTTGGGTCTGATATTAAGATCCTTGATCCATTTTGAGTTAATCTTGGTATAGGGTGATATACATGGATCTAGTTTCAGTTTTTTGCAGACTGCTAACCAGTTTTCCCAGCAGTTTTTGTTGAAGAGGCTGCTATTTCTCCATCGTATATTTTTAGCTCCTTTGTCAAAGATAAGTTGCTTATAGTTGTGTGGCTTCATTCTGGGTCCTCTATTCTGTTCCACTGGTCTTCACGTCTGTTTTTGTGCCAGTACCATGCTGTTTTTATTGTTATTGCTTTGTAATATAGTTTGAAGTCAGGTATTGTGATACCTCCTGCATTGTTCTTTTGACTGAGTATTGCCTTGGCTATTCGTGGCCTCTTGTGTTTCCATATAAATTTCACAGTAGATTTTTCAATCTCTTTAATGAATGTCATTGGAATTTTGATGGGAATTGCATTAAACATGTAGATTACTTTGGGGAGTATCGACATTTTTACTATGTTGATTCTACCAATCCATGAGCATGGGAGATCTCTCCACTTTCTATAGTCTTCCTCAATCTCTTTCTTCAGAAGTGTATAGTTTTCCTTGTAGAGGTCTTTCACATCTTTTGTTAGGTTTACACCTAGGTATTTGATTTTTTTTGAGGCTATTGTAAATGGAATTGTTTTCATACATTCTTTTTCAGTTTGCTCATTGTTAGTGTATAGAAATGCTAATGATTTTTCTATGTTGATTTTATATCCTGCTACCTTGCTATAGTTATTGATGATGTCTAGAAGCTTCTGAGTAGAGTTTTTTGGGTCTTTAAGGTATAGGATCATGTCGTCTGCAAATAGGGATATTCTGACAGTTTCAGCTAAAGACCTCTTTAAATTAGTGGCTTGACATGATTCTTTGCTTAATTTTACAACTTGGAGTCCATGTGTTTCTGAAAAAAATTGTCACAGTCATAAATACCTAGCACTGCACTGTTCAATATGGCAATCACTATCCTGTCACCTGTGGTTATTAAATTTAATTAAAATTAAATAAAAATTTAAAATTCATTGGCAAGGAAAGCATTTCATGAGCTCAATGGACTCATGCTGGCAGGCACCCTATTGGACGACACACATGTAGAGCACGCCTACATCACTGGACAGCACTCGTCACTCGACAGCTGCAGCAGCCCTGCTAGCAAGAGCTAGAGGGAAGGGTAAAAAGATGGAAGTAATATTTAAAACCAAATGAGTATATGCATACAATATGCCTACAAGGCTATATAAGAAAATTGGTAAAGTGAATTTCCAGAAAAAGAAAGTTATTAGGGGAAAGAAAATAAGATAATTATTTTTCATTATATGTTCTTCTGTCGTTTTTTAATTTTGTCATTATAGTAGGTATTCAAAAAATTTTAAAGCACTTATAGTTTTGGAAATTCTTCCTTCTAGAACAATAATTTAGCACATAAGTTATGTCCAAAAAAGATCAGTTTTACTTTTTCAAAAAGATTATTATGAAAAGCTTGAAAGTGCTCTCTTCTAATAGTAACTAGGGAGCTGGCTAAGAAAGCAGGCACCATGCTAGTAATACTTTACAAAAAACCAACCTCACAGAAATCCCAGGAGGTAGGCAATTTTATCTCTGCTTTACAGATAAGAAAAGAAAGGCTGAGACAAACTGGGGCCATTTCCCAAGGTCACAGGGCAGAGTTTAGTTATAAAGCAGGAATTGACAACCCAAGCCTAGAACGTCCCAGGACTACCCCTTCTAAAAGAATTTATGGTATATTTGTCTATTTTGACTTTAAAATAAAATCCCCTGAACTTGGAAAATTCTTTGAGCTATTTGGGAGAATATCCTGACAATTAGTGGGCTTCAACAGAGAGTACACTCAGGAGATTTAAGTCCTCATTTGGGCTCTGGCCTTGGCTGTCTCAGTAATCAGTTCTGTGACCTTCTTTGGAAACAAGAGAAACTCCCAGGGGCTTTTAAGTAAACACAAGCAAGAGGTTGAAGTGATTTTGAAGGCCCTGCCTGGCTCTAATAGTTTACACTTGGCTGAGAAGATTAGGAAATGTGCTAAAGTTGTTTTGATATTTAAAAAATTACTTTTTTAAATCCAAATTAAACCTTCCCAAGAGTCTTGTACTTTTGTTTTTCTCTAAGTCTCAAGTCTGATTATATTTTCCTCCCATTGCCCAGCTCCCAGACCTGGAAAGAACAGAGGACGTGATGCAACACCATCAATATAAAAGGCTAACAAAAAAAAAAAAGAAAACAAAAATGAGGCAAACAAATGAAATAAAACCAATCAAACAAAAACACCATTGCTCTCTAATTTGGGGCTAATAGCTCCAGAAAGGAAAGGAGAAAACGTCAAAATTCATCATTCGTGAAGGCAGTAGAGTCCTCTTTAACAGAAAATTTCTCTTTAAAATTGCCTCTGTAGGAAAATAAGAGTACTAACATAAAAGATGTAGATATTATATTATTTCATGACTCCATTTTTGTGGAAATAAACAAACCAAATTACAGCAAAATCACCCCCAAACCTTGTCCAGGAAAATGACTGGTCAACGGGGAAAGGAAAAGAAGTAGTTTTATGCTTATATAATTTACCGTTAAATTTTTCGACACAGCAAACATGTATCATTTTTCTAATTATAAGGCCAATAAACAAATAAATAAATAGCAGCAGCTATGGCAACATTTGCTAAATCTCAGCCAATGGTTTTTCTTTCTTCTAAATCTGGCTATTGCACTGAATTCCTGACCATCCCCACTCACCCCCTCTTTAAAACTCTGAGCAGATCTATTTCCCTCAGGGGACCTTTGGTTCTTGTTCTTGGCTGATCTGCCTCCAACCCTGTCACTGTACTGTTCTGACCTTCAGAGTTTAGGTTGTTTTTTCCTGGTTGTCTAACCCTGACTTTTGCCACCTCCAAACTTAGGGAAATTGTGCTACAATGGAATGAGCTCAGCAGCTGGGCAGAAACACTTGTGTTTGAATACTCTTTTGTTCCTTGGGTGTTCATCTTTGGAAAATTACTAAATCTAAGCCTCAGGTTCCTTATCTTTGAAATAAAAAATAGCCTTGAATGGGTTTTTGTGATGATTAAATGGTACAGAAAAGGCTCATTTTGCTATTAGACACAACATGCTTAGGAAAAAAAAACCCCACAAGGTACTTATTGGTTGTGCTTTTGCTGTTATTTTCACTTGGAGATTTCTAAGGACCCAGGATAAATGAGAAATTTTATGAAACACACATCTATAACAAAGTAAAAATGGTATTTAACAAAACTCAGATATTAATACATGTACACAACCTTTTTTCTCACTACACCTGTTTAATTAACTTTGCTACAGATATAGTCATTGGGTCAAAGCTATTTGTTATTTCTAGAACAACATCATTTTTTGTAGTCCAGCTCATTTTGTGATTTCATAGAGGGTCAGTTTCAGTTTCACTACAAATCCCTTACTGTCATATTTGGCAACTAAAATCACATGCTGGCTGTGCCCTGTGTCATGTGTTCCGAAGATGTCCAGGTCTGTGTCGCAGAAGGGCTTGTACTGAGTTCCTTCCTGCACCTTGGGTTCAATCTTGGTTGACTCTTCAAGAGAGAGAAAAATAGTTTTTTTAAAAAATCACTTGAGTCAGGCACTGGTGGCTCACATCTATAATCCTCACTTCTCAGGAGGCAGAAATCAGGAAGGTTGCAGATCGAAGCCAGCCCAGGCAAATAGTTCTCGAGACACTATCTCAAAAAAAACCATCACACACACATAAAAAGGGCTGGTGGAGTGGCTTAAGTGTAGGCCCTGAGTTCCAAACCCCAATACTGCAATAAATAAGTAAATAAATAAAAATCATTTGATGAAAATTCTCTCTTGGAATTATGATCAAATAAAAACAAAAAACTTAGAAATAGTCAGTGGAAGAATTTGTAAATGTTCCTAACTCTAGAGTCACTCTTTGAGATGTACCTTCTTTTTTTTCCACTTCATCTAATAATGAGATTCTTCCCACCCCCCCCAAACTGAAATTCATCAGCTCAAAAGAAAATATTCTGGTTACAGAGCCAGGTGCCAGTGGCTCAAGCCTATAGGTACTCAGGAGGCAGAACTCAGGAGGATCGCAGTTCAAAGCCGGTCCATACAAATAGTTTACAAGACCCTGTCTCGAAAATACCCAACACAAAAGGGCAGGTGGAATGGCTCAAGGTGTAAGCCCTGAGTTCAAACCCCTGTACCAGAAAAAATAAAATTCTGGTTACAAAGAACCACTACAGTTTGAAAAAGAGATCCTTTGAGCCAAGCAGTGATACGCACCTTAATCCTAGCACTGAGTTAGGCTGAAGCAGGAGAATAGGGAGTTTGAGGCCAGCCGGGGATACATAGTGAGACTCTGTCTCAAAAACAGTGGGGGTGCGGAGGTTCTTTGGTTTTGAGTTCCATAACTAATGATGCAAGCACACATACACAAAATATATTCATCTTGGCCTAGAGCAACAACCATATTCTAGTAAAGACTAATAAATAGGATGGCAATCAGGGGCAAGCCACAAAAACCCAATTTCCCTTTTCTAGGACTTCCCTGTACTGTTAAAACATTGGCGGGTCAGCAGATCTTATCGGATTGTGGTATCCAAAGTGCAGGTGCCAGAAACAGCTGCCAACAAATTCTCACTCAGAGAAGCCTTGCAGTGGTTTTACACCATCATTTCAGACACCTTCCCAGGTGCTTCGTACTAGGATTACAATGACAATGCTGGTAAATGAACATACACAGATAGAATGTTTGCCTTGTATTTATGATAGAAGACAGGCTTTTCTTGCATATATAGGTTGCCCCTGGGAGAGTGTAGTTTCCCTTAGCTTAAAGGATGCTGGGTCCCAGCCTAAAAGAGTTCTAGGGAAATTAATGGTACAGATGCTCCTTGGGTTATAACGGGGTAATTCTGATAAACTTATCAGAAGTCAAAAATACCTTAAGTCAAACTTCTTTTAATATTCCCAAATAAACCCATCATAAATTTGAAAAATTGTTAGGTTGAACCAGTTCACATCCTATATATCTCAGCTATAAACTTAGGATAGGAACCAGACAAGAGAACTTGTTCCAGGTAATGAAAGAAATTGTGTTGAGGTAAGAATAATCATCACAGTTCTGTAAATAAAGTATTTAAATATTAGGAAATTTACTGCTAATCAACCAATAATAAGCCGATTAACACAACAACACAGAAGTTAATCAAAACCTACAAACAGAAATGCTAAGTGTTTGGACGTTACTTACTCTCTTTTATTTTATAATGGTATTATTTATCTTGCTATTCTTAAACTAACTAGCTGTATTAATTTCCTATGAGTGCATTTACAAATTACCACAAACTTGATGACTTAAAACCCACATTTGTTTTCTTACAGTTCTAGAAGCCAGAAGTCTGAAATCAGTTTCAGCAGGCTGAAATAAGGTATGGGCAGGGCCATATTCCCTACCCACCCCACCCCACGCTCTTTCCTTGCCTTTTCTAGCATTTAGAGCTACAACCTGTACAGCCTCTTCCTTCATCTTCAATGCCAGCAGCATAGCATCTGGCTTCCATGTCATACTGCCTTTCTTTAGGCAGTCAAACTTCCCTGTGCCTTCCTCTGATATGGACTCTGTTATTGCTTAAAGTACCCAGAGATCCCAGGATTGAGGCTGCTCATGGAAAAGTCAGCTCAACACCTGAGACTGGCAGTTAGCACTCACCCATCATTGCTTCGATCTTTACAGTACTGTTTGTTTATTTGTTTGCTCCAGACAGCACAGAGTTTTATTCTTGGGTCAATTTTGATCATCAGAAAGCTTCAGTTTTAGACTATATGGGTGCTGGCCCACTGCAGGATGTCCTTCACTGACAGCAGGCCTGCTCTTTTCACCTGCAGCTGCTGCAATAAACTGCTTCTATGGATGTTATTAAAGACACGTATCTTAGTGTTCCCATGTAAAGTCCTAGATAATTTCAGAGGTAAGGGCTAGTGAGGGCTTTGCCATATAAGGAACTGGTGTGTGTTCTGCTCATGAATAGGGAGGAACATGAAAGGAGTTCCTTTTTAACACTGATCATGAGTTATTCCGAGTCATCCATACAACTAATAGCATGCACTCTAGTGTCCTATTTTTTCTTGCCAATTCATACATCTTCTGGTTGGGACCTTCAATTTATAAACAATATTTTGTAATTTTTATAAGGGCAACAAAGAAAAACTACTGAAATTTATAGATGATCTCAACCTCATTCCTTGTGCTACCTCCTAAAGGTAACTCTGGGTTTGTTTTTTTCCCTTTTCCTGATGCTGGGCTTATTAACATGGATGTAACAACAGAGGAAGAGAAAAGTAGAAGAAGGCATAGGAGAGGAGAAGAAATAGAAGACCTGAAAGGAAAATGGGGGCATCAAGAGAAATACTCGCTGGTTGTGTGGAGAGCTTCTTGGCAAGTTTCAAGCTAGATACAGAATGTGGGAAAGCAGCTAAGAGTCACATACAAAGTCAGAGACATGGAAAAAAGGGACTTTTAAATATTTTCTTAAATGTAATGCATTTATTTCCAGCTTGGATATTTTCTCAGAGGCATGGTAGCTAAATTATTTTCAATATCATATCTGTTTCTTTGAATGTAACAAGGCTGGGACTAGAACAAAACAAGCCTGGTTATATATCATGTGGGTTACATTTGTGTTGTTTTTCTAAGGTGTCGTAAAGGTAGGGCATGAATGGATGGATGAATAAATGAACAATAAAATAAACAAACTTTGGTCCTAGAAAGATTAAAACAAGTGAATTATAAGCTGTGTCAAATTTCATGAACTTGTACAGCCCTTGAATCTAATGGTGTCACATGTCAAATGAAGTTGACCTTTTTTTACAATAATAGAAATCCCCCATCCAACATCAATCTACTTATTTAAAGAGTAACACAAGGATGTTTTCTGGGAGAGGGGGGATCCACAACTACTGTAACAGGAGCCGAAAAGCTGTTTTTGCTGAGGAGCACTGACTCCTTTACTTGGACCCAGACAGAAAAATGATTGCAATGCCTCTTTTCCATTGAAACGAAAGGGATAAATTGACAGTGGGGAAAATGTAACTGTACAAAAGGGAAAAGCTTTTGGTATAGCAAGCTTGCATGCTGGTCAGTTTTCTCTGTTGACCAAACTGATATCTTTTCCCTCTTTGTCTATATGCTGGAGAATCCAAAATTAACTCCCTTTACTCTTCAATTAAACCAGGCAGTCTTCTACCCCTATCTCTTATTGACGGCCAGAACAGTCAACCTGCAGCCAAGACATACAGCTTCAGAGAAGCGGTGCCAGACACCTGAAGATTCAAGGCCAGCAGCCATGGGGAACATGCATCTCGTCATGCAATCAAGCTGAACCCCTGAACTGCCCTTTAAAAGGTGGAAATTTTCTCTCAGCAGTGAAACGACAGAGCTTTGAGTGGCTGACTTTCCCTGTCCTCCTCTCATTTGATGATAATAAACCATATTTCCTTTTCCTCAAAAACTTTGCTCTCTGGTAACATTACCCTGAAACCAATTTCCTCCCAGTTGAACATTTGCCCATTTCCCTACATATGGAGAACTGCAATTTCCTATCGTGAACTCTTCTTTATATCTAACACGCCACGTTACACATAGAGGTCAAACCAACTTCATTCATGCCATCAACTGAGTAATCAACAGCTTTATAGCAGTCTTTCCAGGAAATCTCTGCTTTGATTTTATACTTGTTTTTTTGTTTGTTTTGTGGTAGTGTTGGGGCTTGAACCCAGGCCCAGGCTTCATGTGTGCTCTACTACTGAGCTATGCCCCAGTCCTCAGTATGATTTTTTTTTTTAAATAGTTGTAGATACAAGGTGAGGTAATTTCTCACGGATTTGTTCTTGGAAATTCCTTTTAATTTTAACACATATTACTAAGGTCAAACGTTCATAATATTGAAATAGTAGTCCTTGGATTGCTGAGGATTTCTATGTTCCTGGAGTAAACCATAAGAAAACTCGGCTGGACTTTACTTTGGCTGAGATTAAAGAAAGTTTCTGAAAAAAACAAAATGGAGTGATAGTATTTCATCAGTTGGGAGAAAATGTATATGATTTTAGATACTTCTGAGACTCTTAAACGAATTTATGAACTACAATTCAAATAAAAGTCAAGTAGAGAAAAGTTTCATTACTGTGTGTGTGGATTAGGCCAAAGAGTCTCCAATCATTCTCAGCAGTGTTCTTAAAAAGAGGGGATCAATATTTAACACACACATATACATGTGTGTGTGTGGTGTGTGTGTGTGTATATATATTATATAACAATTTCATGACAGCATGGGCAAAAACTAAAATTGAGCACTGATCAATTATTACATACTTATAACTACTATACATACAAAATGGCACTCTGTATCAATATATTAATCTATATCATATCATTTTAGAAGAGATGTGGTATTAAACACTGAACTAAGTATTCTGAATTCTATGTAAAACTGTCACAATACTTGAAATTCTAAAAGTTAAATAATTTTAATTGATAAAATCATTAACTAAACTAAATCCAAATTATCTCTTCCATTTTGTTTTCTGAGAAGTACTCTGTAAATCATAGAATCTCAAGTTGCAAAGTTTGT